TTGCCGTGTATCCATGCGTTTCTGTCTTAGGACTTTCGCGCGCTTTTTGTGCCAAACCTCGTTTGCCTCGCATGCAGGTTCTATTGATACCGCATGACCCCTTAGTGTACATAGGAAGTGTCTCAGCTCTTTTTTCTAGTGTCCGCTGAAGAAAAGCTACGCATTCACGGACAGACCTGTCGAGAATGGGGGAATCTTTGTTTTGGGTTAGGATCGAATCGATGGCGTGTGTTTGTCCATGCAGAATGACTTGCCATCTCTCTACGCTGGTCAATGACAAGTGGCAAAACAGGAGAAGCAAAAGGAAATAAGGAGCGTAACGCTCCAGAGCCAGTGGCCAAGACCTCAAGCTGATGGCTGGCAGTCAAGTAGAAGCGTGTCAGTGATGACCAGCAGTGAGCAATCAGCGCCCTTACGTACAGTCGCCAATACACACTATCATGATAGTCCATACCTTGACGCTCGGTGACCGTATAGACCACGATGACGCCTAATGGAGGTCGTCTATCGAAGCGCCTTTTCTCTTCAAGAAGACACGTAAGTTTCATCAAAGAAAGAGAGCAAGAATGAACGATAAGAGGAGAGACGGTATGAAGGGCCGTAGATAGATAGCACAATTACAGAACGCAGAAAAAGATTTTCAGAGATGCGCTATGGTGATTTGTTTCCTCTTCTCGTCGTGGCTGTTCGCCTTTCTCCGATGTTCTCAAGCAGCATTGTCAGGGCTTCTGTAGCCCACTCAGGGTCTCACTGGGTTGGCGCTTGCCGGTCGGGTACCTCAGGGCCTCCCAACCATCTGATTCGGCTCATGCCAGTGCTGTGCTGTTTTGCGTGGAGTTTCTTCGATTGTCGTCTTCGTTATTGTGTACTTCTTAGTACTTCGGTGCTTACATTTACTCCTGCTGTTAGTTTGCCCTACAGAGAAAGAGAGAGTGAAATGGTTCCACCAAATGACGATGCCCTGATGGGTGCTGCTGCCGTTGATCAGACTGTGATCACTATCTGAAATCGCAAAGTCTTCACTGCTGCTGCTGCTGCTGCTGCTAGCGCCGCCGGCATCATGGGGCCGAACAAAACCAAGCGAACGGCTTTCAGTTAAGCCAGTTCACCCGTTCCTTTAGTCCGCAAAGAAAGCACAAGATGCTCTAAACAAGCGCAGATACTCTCGCACGTCTTCTGATGGTGGTATGGCAGTTCCGACGCACTCTCGAAGCCCGAACAGGGAATCGGCGCCGTCTATCGTCACTGAGGCGTTAAGACGATACGTGACGCAAATCAGTATACGATGACGGTGGCTATACTAGCAACAATACACGCTGATTTGTGGAATAATAGCGAAAGGAGCGATGCACCAATAGAATCCTCTAAATAGAATAGTCGTTTATTTTTAAGCCTTTAGTATAGGCAGCTGGCACGCCTCAATCGAATGTCCAGTATTTCTAAAGTGTCAGTTTTGCGAATAGTCTTGCCTCGTACGAGTCTGCGAGAGATGATGGTCCGTAGTGGTGGGAGCTAGTGAAGAGCGATTAGAAGATGCTCATTTTTCAGGTTTCATGGTAGGCGTAATCGGGTTTTCTATAAAACATTCCAGCTTGTCTTATGTTATTATATAAACCTTGCCCAGCAGCAGCAGCAGCAGCTGCAAACATTTAGAATAGTCAGTACAGTGATTACTATTAGTACAATATGATGATAATAATAATAAATTGTACATTATTATTATTATTTATAAACAGGGAATTCTTTAAGCCGTTTTTTTCTAGCAACGGTCTGGATTATGTAGATTGATCCTTTTTTTCAACGTTTTACTTTACTGTGGGATAAACCTCACTGCTTTCGCAACGAGTGCATTGCAGAGAATACAGCGGCGGAAAACACCGATCAGCTGTGCTGAAGTGACTGAGACACAAAAATTTGAACGAAAATCATCAGGTCTCAACAATAGTCCCTTTACACGTACGGGCAATAGGTACGATTGCCTGCGTGCAATCGTACGCAATGACTTGCAAGTAAAATTGTCCGATTGGTTAGCACCGGGTTGCGCTTCGTATGTGTATGCCCAATGTGGATTTGTCGGACAATTGGTACAACAATGGAAATGCGGGGCAATTCCAGTTCGCAGCACTGATTGTATAATAACAGTAGTGATCAATGCCATACCTCTTATCTATTTTTGGTCAGCGTCACGCTGTTCATATCATCGAAGTTGCAAACAGATATTTATTTTCTATATAGAAAATATACGATGTCGTTCTATTTGTTACTATTCATTTTCGTGCGGCGCATGCGTAGTATTTTAGCGTACAAGCACGCGAAGATTGATCGATTGACAAACGCGCTAATGGTGCAGTCTGTATTTGTGGGTCTCTCTTGGGCGCATTTGTTCACCCCCTGCGTGCTCACAACAGGGCTCGCAGTCGCTTACGCAATTACAGTTAAACACTTGCTCACTTCACACTCATATATTTAGATCAATTGAAGGGATTTGGAACAATTTTTGTATCAAAATGCTGACAGCCATACAGAGACAACAGTACAAATATATGGTTTCGCTGCCGGTGATATACCTGCCGTCAAAATGTTATATAATCGCGATTACGTATCGTACGAATTTGTTGCTACTGTTGCATCACGCTATGGGGCGAAGAAGACGGCAGCAACCATGACTAATCATTAAGAGTGGTAACGACAACAACAACAACAACAACACGACCCGGATTTACAATCGCGTCACCAGACGCTGATATTAACAATACATAAAGTTCCACGATAATCTGTTCACTGGCCTAGCTACTCGCTCGCTAACTGGATATACTTCCAACTTTTTCGTTTTCATCTTGTCCCTTCATTTTGCCGTACCTTGCACTGCTTCATCTAGTCGTGATGAAGATGATGGTAGCGGGTCTGGTCTTTCGGTTAGCCTTCACTAAGTCCGTTGGATCCTACCACTGCTGCTGCCTTAGCCGAAGATAGCTACTGCTTCTTCGCTCTTCGGACGACTCGGTTGCTTCAGTAGATGTTGACGTCCGGCAGACCGGAAGCCAATCGTTGAAGCGTACCAGTTGCGCAGCTGCTGGCAGTCAGACAAACGGCCAGTCACCACCTGCTAGAACAATCTCAGCAACAATGGATTCACCCACAGGCGCTCGGCTGCCACGCTTTTCACAGACACGCCATCGTGTTACGAATTGACCCCTCCGACAAGATCTCTCTCACTGATAGGCATCATCTCTTTAAATCTCATCTCGTTTTCATCAAGTTTCAACGCTGTTTTCTAGTTCGCTCTTGCGTTCTGCTTCTAGCGGGCGCAATCATTCATTCACTGACTGGAAACCTGTAGCGACGTCTGAAACGCTAAACCATAATGGAGATAAACAACGACTAGCATGCTTACGCCAGTAAGAGTGCTCATAACAAGCCAGCACATTTCTCGTACTCGATAGAGTTTGCTGTCTTTCTATTTATGTCCCACTAATGTCCGACAACGACGAGGACCAGGACATGAGCAACGACGCCAACGTTCCCCTGAACGATGACGATATCGACACTTGGTGCCAGTGAAATGCTGCGAGAAGCAGAAGAAGCTGGAATAGAGTGATACGTTAAAATAGACAAAAAAAATTGAGTACATTATCGAAAGTAGAACAACAAGCCATGACGATAATCGATAAGGCCGTCGATGCCAACGCATCGAACCTATTAATGGAGTTAACGCATAAATATACTATCACATATATATTAAGATTTTTTTCATAACAGAACTGTCAGTTGTCAGTGCGCTATACGTACCGAATAATTGAAATATTCCACGCATGAAATAAAGCGAAATGTACTGAAGAGCAGTTAATCACAGTTGACAAAATATTGCTCTTGACGGGTCGACAGTACTGCAATCGATCCGTTCGTTGTGAGCACCTGTCGCTCACCGTTGCTCGCTTCCGTTGTTTTGCATTGCCCTTCGGTGCAAAAATCTACGTCGGCGTCAGCGGCAACCACTGCTATTACTGCAATAATACCATCATAGATACTGTGCGTTGGCGCGTATCGTGTGCAGCTAGCTGTGTGCGAGCCTATCCGGCCCCAGTCAATACCTAAACGAAAGTCATTAAAAAAGTAAAAGGTGAATTAAGAAGCGAAGGAGGGAACGCAATTGGATTAACTGGTAATAACAACAATAACGGCTCACAGATGATGCTCGACTAGCTGACCCTCCCAGAAGCAATCGTTGCTTGCGATAGCTGCTGTCACCGATAACAGCGGCAGCGGGGCGGTGTTAGTAGCTGGCCGTTGTACAGGCTAAAAAGGCCGCTGTAGGCCTGCATGTCGACGTGCCGTGCGCTGATGACAATGTACTGCTGCTGTTGTACAGTTATCATAGCTACTGTTTACGTCTGTCTGTATAGTATATTTCATGAAGCTAACGGCACGTGACGCAGCGTGTGGCGGAGTTTTGCACGCCGCAAGCAAAGGTTTCATTCGTGGCCATAGCTGTAAGATTCGTCACGTTTACAAGCTCCGACGACTGCGGCTTCAGCCGACTCGTCGCTGGCCCATTGTGTCTAAGCCTGTCAAGCAGGCCAATAGCTGCACCGTGGTTAAGCCTGATTCGCCCTACCAGATTTACTAAACCGCTATTAAGGATTACCGATTTATTTTCCTACTATAATATCAAGTGGGCAGGGTGACCTCATTTATTGAAAATGATTTTTCTAATCTTTGCTTTTTTTCTCATCGTATCTCTTTTGCGTATGATATATTATGGGGCTTCTGACTGTTATTGAACCGTCTACATTGTTTAGTCGTACGTACTGAATACAATCGCTCGCGAGCCTCGCTTGTTTGTTCCATGCATGAATAAACAAACCATTGATAGCTTATTAAAAGGAAGCTGGCGCTTAGAAATCTTGGACCGCGCATGCTAGTGCTCATACCTTCATTTGGATCACACTTGTTAAATTCGAAGTAAATCAACGCGCCGTTTGCACCGATGAACGTTTCAGGAATTCGAAGGCCGGTAGCTGCTGCAGGTGTATATCCGACCCTCACATCCCAGTATGCGCCTCCGCCTGTCTACAATGCGGCGTTTGCTCAACTACAATGGTCAGTAGCTACTAGTGCGTCCAATTTTTAAAAACATGCAACAAGGTAGAATAAAAATAGGTTTACAGTCTAGGCAGCATGACGGTACAGCGATAACCTTGTTCGCACGCAGGGTTATTTGTGTTTGAAGCTGGTCATAGCGATTTTTTTCATGCTAGAAGGGATCAGCCGTCTGAAGTAGTGCTCAACGGGACAATATTCGAAACATTTACTCATTCAATTTTTCAGCAGTAAACGTACTTCCTTTCCATTGGCAACCTATCTTTTCTGATCCTGATGTATATACGCTTTCACAGTTAGGCATGCGCAGTAAGTTGTACCGAGTCCTATAGCTATAATGTGGACTCTAAGTAGTACTTCAACTCAGTGTCTCTCATTACGTGCTACTTACTACGTATGTTAGTAATAGACGTCCGTGCTCGCTAAACGTTCAACTTAATAGGATTTTATGTTGTCTCTTTTCTTTCTTCGATCCTCTATCGATTTCCATTTGAATCACCGTGAACACTGCATCGAAATACTCCTTCTACTTTGCTTGATACACGTAGAGTTATCGAATACTGAGTGCTGTCTACTGTCCATTGGCGTTGTATATGCTATTTGGGGAGAGAAATCTTCTCATTATTTTTTCTTTATTATATTATATTAAGAAGATCGCTGAGTTGTTAAATTTTACCACCGCAGCCATGAAGGTGCCTTTGATGCAACACCAGCTGGGTATTACTAGCGGGCCGAACGGTCGACGCCATTACTAACAGCTGTCACTTTCGTCAGTTTGTTTTTTGTTCTTGCCGCATTTATATGGTTCGGTGTGCGTAATTGTGTTTACGAATGGGGTAGATAATATTCGTTCAACGCTGCTGATAATAGTGGCGATGAAAAAAAATGATTATTGCAGTTGTTTCATTTGATAATACATTAGATATAAATGCAGTGATATTGCGTGTGATACGGTTCAATAATTATGATCAGTCAAAAAAAACACGGACATCGATTACTCTCTATTGATGTGCTGTTTTATGAAGATAGATTTATTGGCTTGAAATAGCGCAGTACCCGGGGGCTGTTATTTCATCTAGTCCCGCTGGTCGTTTTGCCCACTGGCGGCTCTTATCACTACTGTTATTCAACGGCTTTTATCATTCCGACTAGTACTAGCACTGAGATTAGTATGCAATTATAACGCCACTCATCCACCCCGGCGACGATATCGCGCCTATCATAACCGTCATTGAAAACGACGGCAGCAGCAGCAGCAGCGTCTCTTATGATTTGCTAGCTATATATTAATCAAATACATGTTTTTGCTGTCAAATGCAATTCGGCCTTATTAAATCGATTCACTTAGAAAAATAAGGTATAGCATAGCCTGGGGTCGTTAAATGTCAAAGCAGGGGACGCCATAAGTTTTTCCATCCTAGCGTACCTTGTTACGCGCCATCTGGTCATCTTTGTTACTTTGATGTTACGACGCTGACCAACAACGACGGTGGACATTGGCCGAATTTCTTCTTCTTGTGATAGATGATGAATGTACCTGCACAATATATATAGTATGATGATACTGCGCGCTCACGTGGGCCCTCAAGTATAATAACAACAACAGCGATGGTGTTACTGATATCAGATAAAGGTTAGCACCCCCTTCTGGTGGCAATTTCCCTTAGCGGGCTATCTGCTAGGCCGTAACGTAGGCTTTTATATTCCTATGTTGCGGCCGGACCGAGTCGGACATCAGTTCGGTAACTTATGGACCATGATCATTATAGTTTCGAGATGCCATTGGTCGTTCTGCCGGAACCACCGTCAGACTTAGCACGCGCCGTTATCCTTCGCTGTTCCTTTTTGCTCTCTAAAGATCGTTAAGAATGGGGTTGGATAGCTGCAGTCGTTCGCTATGTGAGTCAAGTGGGGTCTACAGCTGTGGGCTTGACCCTAGATTCAGAAGGTCCAGTTATGCAATCACTTCCCCTCCATTGTCTTCAATTGAACTCTGTCATATTTCGATCCATCAACGTTTATCCACGCAAACAACCACTCTAAATTAACTGACTATGTACCATAGCTTGAAGTGCGTTTTATAACGATTACTAAAATCTCTCATGCGATGTGCTTAGGGTCGTCTGGAAGTATTGACGTTGTGCTACAGTGCATATATATGTATGTAATTCATTGATAATAAATACAGTTGGAAATAATAGCCCTTACATTTCGGAAGTTATGAAAGACGCGAAATAGTGGTAAAGCATCGACCCACGTTCGCAACCGACCGCACGTAATAATAATATTACCATATGGGTGCTTGTTTAGAGATCTGTGCGTTCATTGATTGCGGTGACGCCTGAGCCATATCAATGTAGTGCTGAACGATGGTGGGGTTGTTGATAGCGACTACGAAGCGATGCTGAGTGTGGCTACGCACGATGGAACAATAGTGAGCTGCTGCTTCTGCTATTGGAATCCACTATATCTTCTATCTAAACGTGTCCATCCGTCTTCTAATCTATTTGCCTGGATGTGCAATCAGCGCTAGCCACTTTTATAGCCATTCCTCTTTCCTTGCGTATATAGTTAACTACACGATATCGAGTTGAAAGACAAAGCCGTTCTATAAAGTTCTTTATCTATCTAGCTAGCAGAGCGCGATCTGTGTATGTGGACGGGGAGAGTCAGACGTCTGAGCTCTGCCAGCGATACATCGAACAAGCCAACTGCTGCTTGTGAGCTTCTTCTGGTACAGCTTCTCTTGTCCCATTTGATTGCTTCTAGTCTCCTTCTTTTCGCCTCCGTTCGGCCAGCTAACAATCCAAATTTCAGCGAGTCTCAGGTCTCAGTCAACACCTTTACCCAGACAAAGATCAGCCGAACTAACTTCTCCGTGTAGATTCCTTATCGTTGTCTTTTGCTGATAACGCCTGGTTTTCTGTGTGTGTATGGATGTATGTATGTATGTATGTATGTATGTATGTATGTATGTATGTATGTATGTATGTATGTACGTATGTATGTATGTATGTATGTATGTATGTATGAATGTATGTATGTATCTAGTCTACTCTCCTTTAGTCGTGATCGCTTGATCAGCACCAGCGGCAGCGTTCAGTGGTAGAGCTGATGCCGAACCACTTTTCTCTCATCTCCGTCTGAATCGTGGTCGGCGCTCGAACAAGAAGAAACGCCATGCATGCGCATGTATAATTTAACCTATCGCATAGATACGTGTCGGTGTATGAATATCGATGTGCGAGCGGTACTCAGTGCCAGCGATCGAACTAGATTGTATAGTTATGTTTTCGCGTCTTCTGCAACTGATTTTCATGTCTGGCATAAATAGCCATCAAGATGATACGGGACAGCTTCTGTACCCACACCTTCACCTCTGCCAACGATGATTTCGCTAGTGACGACAGCAACGATTTTATGCCGTTTCGAACAGGAGAACGTGATTTGAGCGGTTGGAATTGTTTCTGTTACACAACGAATCGAATAGCAATAAAGCTCCCTTGGCCGTTATCTTCATGGCCATATAGCCAATAGACTGAACAGCCATATAGTCGTCGCTGTGCAGTGATTTGTAAAAATCGGAGTTCGACGAAAAATCTCCGTTAACATCCTGGGTTCCCCTACGAACACAGGTTCCTCTTCGTCTATCCTTTGCTCACTCCAGATGATGATCAATTGCTCGTAGGTTAACTGCATTAGTCTCTCTGCGGCAACACCACACATACTACTATCGTATCGTATCGTCGTACGTTTCAAAATAGCTTCTTTAAAAATGATGTTTTCGTAGCTTCTGCTGTTATGGTCGCTGAGCGCATCCTTTTGCCGCACAGTATTGGTTTGCCACTTCTGAAGGGCTACTTCTGCTTGAGCAAATCGATCGATAGTTCCGCAGAAAAAGGAGGGATTTATTCGGACAATCACTTGTTCGCGGTTGTGATAACGACATTCTGAGTAGAGTTTAGCTGGGATACCTCAGCAACCAACAAACTACACCGTGTCTTTGACATCTCCGTTACTCGTTACCTAGTCAACGTGTCGACAATTCGACGTCATCTGGCGAAAAAAAACAAAGAGGATTCAACAAATATCGAATATGACATCGGTCACTATTACTGAATATATGTCCGCAAAGGGCAATATCTGTATTGATTATACGCCCACGTGCCACCATCCTGGCATACCACCTGTTATAGAAAACACATCGGCGCTATGTAATGGCAGCCTAACATGCACTAGTATCAAAGGCGAGAGGGTACCACATAGATGTGAAGACAATAACAATGCCTAGGTCATACGCTACCTGTTGCCTTTTGCGATCAATCCACTGCACGATCATTGTATAACAAAACATACAAGAGCCGTTCCATATGATTCGCATAGTTGGCGCTCGTATGACCTTGCAGCCGCCGCTGCCAGCCCCGTAGAGACAACACTAGTCGATCGGGCAGGATTGCTTCAGTTCTTGTTGTGTGGGATTTATCGATTGGTGTTAGGAACGGGCTGCTGACGAGCCGCTCTACTAGCTACGAAAACTTCAGACGTTTCCCAAACTATCTAGCTAAGCGAGCTGCAAGCCGTATGCTAGCCTGTCAGTTTTCTAGTCATACGGCGATCTGAATTTGAGACCGCTGTTTCGAGGTTGTCTGGACGGATTGGCAAGAAGCTCGTCGTCACTGGGTACTGGCAAAAATCAAAAGGACAATCAGGGAGAAAGGGTTGCCGCGTTGACTACGAAGCGCGCCAGTCGTTTCTATCTAATTGAGCATCTTGTGGGAACCATTTTTGCCATAGCTCCCGTCGTTGCCGCTGCTCGTTTTATGGCTGATCCGACAGTTGCCATTGTTTTTAGCTACGGTTGTTAACATCCTGCATGGCTGCACCGTTTATCTGTTGACAAAAATCCGCAGTTGTTTACTGTCCATCTATTGAATATTATATACTTAGTCGCTTGTTTATAAGAGTTCAACTATTGTACAGGTAATAACATCGCATCGAATCTTTTTTTTGGTTTCAATAGCTACTTAGTGTCCTACCTTTTGCTGACTGACGCCGGTCTAGATACAATATATAATATGTTTTTGAATTTGATCAAGCATCACCATCGTATTAGTCGCGCTATAAGCACGTAAGCGAAACGACCTAACGGAGAACAAACCATATGGCAATGACAATTTCTATATATTTATATATAGATGTATATTAGTTTGTCAATTCAATCGAAATCAACCGTATGTCTTTGCGCCGCCGCCGCCGCTGCTGGCAATACTGCTATAGTTATTATCAGTATCCATTGCTGCTATTGTCGTGGCCGTTGTTAACGTTAGTCCCAGTGTTGACTAGGGCAGGATCACGATTCACGCTTGGTCAAGCGTGAGCTCTCAAAGAGTGTTCGGTGTCGAAATGCCCGGACGACGTCAACGACGTTTTTGCGTTATCTTCGCTGGGTGAAAGCTAGGCTAAGAAAGCAGCTTAAAAAAAAGAGACAGAAAAATCTATTCTTGAAAAAGTAGCCTTAACATCCATCGAATATGCTTTTGTATTAGACGTAGTCACCTCGAAGGTCTACGGCTCTTTTGCCAGTTAATGGCGGGGTACTTGAAGCGGCTGAATGCAGAGCCTTTTCGAATCGAACCACTGAACAAAGTGAACACAGAGCCAAGAAAGATGCCTGCGATGTTCAACCTTCACAAAGCTTTAACAGATACTGATTTCCGGGAAATCAAGGTTACACGCACACCAGCACGAGTACAAACGGACACAACATGTCCTAGCACCCATCTTGAAATAACTGTGATTAAAATCATGATACAGGCGGTTAACCTCGAGCGGCTTCTTCAAATGGGAGTTGGTTCATTCATTAACTAAATAGATCTAATGTCCATATCAGCTTCTAAATGTCGAACCGCTCTATATATATATATATATAACAAGCTAAGTTTATAGTAGACCTATTGGGTTGACGTTTCATGAATAACAATCAATAAAATACATCAGGAAGACGCAAGAAAGACACTCTTCCGGATGGACAGCAAAACAGTTAACAGACCAGTTCATGACATAGAGGGACAGCGGCACATGATTTCCTACTTTAGCCAACTATCACATAGGTCAGTTTTTTACTATTTCGGCTACACTATTATATGCTAATTTGCTTGTTTATGTGCTGTGTGTTTTCGGTATGACTGTTGTTGTTGTTGTCGTCGTCGTCGTCGTCGTCGTTCTTAGGCACTCGATATACCCATCAATGGGAGCACCGTCTCTTAGGCCGTACGGGCTGAGCGCAGGATTTGGAGCGGGTCTGGGGTCCCTCGGCCGAACGCTGCTCCCTCCTCCGCCGGGACCCCCTGGTCATCCCTCAGTTCCGCAGGGACTTCACCATCATCCTGCTTTATCGCCCCATCATTCGCATCATACTAGCCCGTTTTCGCCCACGCCCGCCGGGCTGCAAAACCGACCTGATCTCACCGCTCTCACCGAATCCGGCAGGTAAGAAATTGTGACACGGTTATTCCATTAGTATTTAGGCGCTATTAGTGCCTAAAATATAAATAGTCAAATGTATGTTTCGTAACTTTAGCTAGTTTCGAAAATATCAGTTGTTTATATGCTCGCGTATGCGTCCTGAAGACATGCGAAGCGAAGGAATGCGATGAATGGCTTAAGTATCATCAAGTATGATAAAAGGCCGCGAGACTGCAGAATGTTTACGATTTGTAGATGGGCCAATCTAACGTATGAAGGAACAAATAACAGGCCACGGAATAATCCACTTGAGCGTATCTGCCTAGTTAGGAAATGTGAGTATTCACGAGTGTCGCCATTTAGAGTGCGCAGCCCTAGCGCAGCTACGTATATAGTAAATAAGAACAAACAAAGGAGAGCCTACATCTATAATTAGATGTGGCACTAATGCATTGAAGCAGCAAATATATTCTCATCGTTCACTGACGCACGGCCACAGCCCTATTTCTAAAAAGCGTAACAAGCGACAAAATAAAAAAAAAAAGAGATAAGCTTTTACATAGTACGCATGTTATGCAGACAGTAATATTAATAGAAACCGATTAACTTGTACCAGTGGCGCATAGTCCATGAAGCCTCGAGTTGCTAGCAGCAGCTGGGTGGTGATCATACTGAAAACTGACGTGGACTGCAAATTGACGGGATGAGAAAGGGGGAACAGCATGGCCTGATGATCCAACGGTATCACAGCTCCATGTACACAACAATAACAAACGACACATCAGGATACCGGTCGGGACAGGACCGTAGGGATATGGGTCGATGCTTTCGGCTATCCACGAATGCCATCGGGCTGCGGCCGCCCGTGCTAATGATAGTTGCTGAGGGTTTCTATTAGGGGCCATTGCTCGTCATAAGCCGAACGTATCTGTGTGAAGCTGTCAAGAAAACAGCTTCGTACGTAAGGCGTTCACACATCATCGCTACCGCCGTCGCGACTGGCCGCGCGGCGCTGATACAATGCTATAGGCGCTATTGCGTTGGACGCTAATACCGTTCACTTTACGTCCGTCTGTTACTACTGTGCCCGGTTGGCTGAAGATGCAACTGTTGCCGCTGTTCTGTTTGTGATTAGTTCGCTTATATTTTCGTTGCGACTGTCGTTGGTCGTTGATCTGTCTGGCGGTGACTGCCACGGATAGCAGCTCAGTAGCGACTCGATATCCCCCGTGTTGTTTGAAGCAGGCATCGCGAAGCTCAACATAGTTTTTATTTATTTACGGCTACAAGAGCAGCGGCAGAGGCAGCAGATAAAGGATAAAAATGGCGTACGCTTACGAATCAGCCAACACAGGCCGAATGCGCTGCGCACGCGAAAAATCCCAAGTACACGATACGACGGGACGCAAATCGGCGACGAAGAGTGTACAAATTATGCAAATATCACCAACGTATTACTATTTATATATTTCAATAATAACGAAAATAATAAATATTATTAGTATTATCAATTAACAGAAATGGGTAGATTAGATCAACGACTAATAAAAGAAAACTTGAAACTAGTCCCGTTTGCTACTCGTTGGACCGTTCCTCGATCGATCTATTCGGGTGGAACGAAGACATACGTAGATGTTGTTTGGCCGCTGCTGCCCCGATGGGCGAGCTGATGACGGCGATTGACCAAGCGTGACGGAACGCTGCGTTTGATGCTACTGCAACTCCGATCCATCGAAGATCATTTGAGATGGTACATCCGCTTGTATTTTTGTCACATTCGCTGAAATGTCATGTAAAATATGACTAGCAGGTTGGCTAGAAGTTAACTCATCAGTTTTTTAAACATTCGTCTTGGGTCCATATGGCCTATTAAAACAAATCCTACATGCACGCTAGCTGATAGTGGCCCAGCTGCCCCTCTTCGTCGCCAAATCTTAAACGATTGTCCTATGCTGTCCTGCCCTATAAATTGCAGTATACAGAATGCTCGGCGGCACTCTGTGCTGTAGGCTGCAAGAGAGTGACGTACTGAAGTTCAACAAGGGCACTGATTTTCCTTTGGCGAGAAGAGCATTCGCTTCAAAAGGAGGACGCTATCAGCATATAGACATAGTGCGGTTACACATTGACGCTATTTGTACACAAAACGTTTCCGATTCTATGAACTGTCATTAACTCAAGTTTGGCCTAACACTAGGAACTCGTACTGAAGGCCAGTAAGACTAACTCGAACCGATTTAGTATATGTTTGCTCCGAATAGTCAAGTATTCGAAATAATGTAAGTGAGTTGGTATAAATTTACACGGTCTAGTAAAGCCAGCTTATAAAATGTTCTCTACTCTGTTTGTGTGTTGTGATTGGCTTCCTTTCAATCTACTCTAACTGATAATTTATCAGTTCTTCCCTGGAACAGCCCCAAGCCCAGCAAACAACCGCTCTGGGTTCACACGAGCCAGACGGAGGGTAAGCAGGCCGCCTAAAAAAGGCCGACACTCATAGGCATTTAATTCACTTCCGAGCGCATGCCGCCGAATGCTAGATTTTGCAATCAACACCAAGTGGAACCTCCTGATTGGTATTTTTACTGTTATTACGTTACAATACATCCGCCCATTTTCTGTTTTTTTCCCAATTGGTTGCTTGATGATTTGAGCAGGCGATCACCTAACTGGCAGCATTATTTTTTCTTGGTTATCTTCAACGAGGATGTTTGAATGCTACGAGGTTACGTTAATTCATACTTATTCTACATGCGCTCTCATTTTTGTCGTGACAGCTTTGTTTTGATAAGCTAACCTACGAAATACGCTACGATACAAAAAAAATCACTCGCATTTAATAATATGCCGCGATCAGTGTTTATAGCAGGTATGTCGACGAGTTCTCGTTTCATTACTCCCTCATTGTGCCTGAACATCCCTTACATGACCTGCTGAAGCAACTATGAAGCTAATCCTGGACCTTCTACAAACGAACGCATATACATTTATCCGCTAAAAAAAAGTTCAGTTTTAACAATCTGCTTCATCATTCGTTTCGACAGACGAATGGCGGCCATGTACTCAAGTCAGCTGGAAGCACAATCTCTTCCTACTGTGGTTGGCAATGCACCGATCGTGTCCGTCACCCCCACGTCCCCACCACGACGACCCACAGCAACGAGTGCAGGAGCTATTGGCAGTAGTGGGGTTGCAGGCGCGGGTCAGCAGACGATTTCCTCTGTCAGCCAGCAGAGCAGTTTGGGGGGTGTCAACAACAACCCAGATGGAGATGGCCATGGCGGCGCCGGGACCAATGGTGCCACGACTGTCGACAAGAAGTCCTCGAAGCCGCCAGCGCATGTCAAAAAGCCGCTCAACGCGTTCATGCTCTATATGAAAGAAATGAGGTATACTTTCGAATGCTAGAGGCTATAAATGTCTTTCCGCTTTAGGCTCTCGTTCAGCTTCGCATCGTACAGTGTAGCGTAACTTACAGACGAAACCTTGCACCAACCCCCCTCAGTAGTAGAACGTCACTGGAACGCTGAACTAGCGCATTTAAACCTGAGTGTGCTTTGTCCTTTTCGCCTTCTTGATCTGCTTATGAAACTTTTCAGAGCCAAGGTGGTGGCCGAATGTACGTTAAAAGAGAGCGCTGCAATCAATCAGATTCTGGGTAAACGGTGGCACAATTTGTCACGAGAGGAGCAGTCCAGATACTACGAGATGGCGCGAAGGGAACGTCAACTGCACATGCAGATGTATCCCGGCTGGACTGCGCGTGACAACTATGCCCTCAACACCAAGAAAAAGAAGAGGAAGAAGGAGCGAATCCTCGATGCAGGTAAATATCACACACAATGACACCCACCCAGACAAACAGGAAGAAAGCAGCCAAACTAGTAACTTAAACTGTGGAAAAAGACACCTGTACCCGATGAGGTCTCTGTCTTACATTTGTGCTGCTGTTATTACTAGCATTATCGTCTGTTTATGAATATGTTAAAAAAAATAGGCAGGAAAAACACAGGACAAATGTCCGCTGAGTCGTGGTATAACGTGTCGCATTTTTTTTTCGGTTCATCTTAGCTTTGGTGGCTTCGCTCCTCTTTCGATGCCCTAATTTTTGTCTTTCCTTTTCTCTCTCTCTCTCTCTCTCTCTCTCTCTCCTTCACCATTTATTGCCGATAGAATTCCCACGCGTCTACTTCGATCGATCACTACTAATACCACCCGCTGGTATGAGTATATACCTGTCTGTGTAATTGGTACCTTAGGTTCTATGAATTGCTTCAGCGATGATGATATACTTAACTGCTTTGCAAAGCAACTGCAGTTAACTGCAACGGACAAGTTCAGCTTCTTAGTAGCGCGATAGGCGAGAGATTCTTTTCACCTGGCAGATGACATCCAAACGACAAGAACAAAGACCAACTTCCAAAAATAGAGAAAGCTACAGCAAACGTTTACAATCGCATAATGCAATGCATTCCATATATGACGAACATACAGATACGAATGAACCGTCTTCATGACTGAACAGATACAAGGACCAAACATAAAAGCAAATACGCCAGGAATGTAGGTAGTTGCGCCGGGAGTCTAAAACAGTGTGTCAGGGGCAAAGGGGGATGGGGTAATGAATCGGATTGTCGGTTTCCCTCTCAGCACAACACGGCACGGTCGATCGAATTGATAAACTGGTGTGACAAGAGCTGCAGTTAATGAAACCAACAGATGCACGCACGTACGTACATACATACCTCCCTCCAATATGAATGAAGACTTCTAGTGTTTTGGAAGTGAATGCTCGCAGTTATCTGTGAATTGTTTTTGATGAAAACGTTTAAGGCAACAAAAGGAGAGAAAAAAAAAAAAGAGGCAAAACAAGCCACAGGAAAAGTCAGATAAATAAGCATACAAGAGAGAAAAACAGACAGACGGAAAAGCTCGTGTGGCAGCTTAACAAATGGCTGCGCCAAACGCTTTCAGAATTTCGGTCTGACGTAGCATGCGGCCAGCTACCTATATTCCATCAGTTCACCACCACTACTTCCGAAGAAAGGGATCAGGGAGCACGCCTCGCGGCTGGCACCACACTGCCACTGCCGGCTGATGGCCAACAGCTCTATCAACTCAATGAACTCAGTCATAATTTCAAAAAGCAGAGACTTCTTAACATGAACAGTAAGTTGGTAGCGAATTGACGAGTTCGTATTGGTGAACTCGGACGCAAAAAACAAATTAAAATACTTTGTCGCTTGCCTCCTCGCTTTCAACAGCGCACCTTGACTTTAAATCGATCGTAATTGTAATGATGATGATAATAGTAATAATAATAGTAATAATAATAATGATAATAATAATAATAATAATAATAATAGTTATAATAATGAACTATAGTTATAGCAGTTCCATCATAAAATTAACAAGATTACTCGTTCTGTGCGTTACTTCGGGATGTCCCCAGTTGTTGGGCACCCTTGTCGCCTCGATCACTTTTTTGTATACGTTTTATGTAAATATAATATGTGCGGTTAAATTCTAAGTCTCACTTACTTCCTAGTCCCGATTCCCTGTATGTCGTATAAGTACACGTTATACCAGTTTTTAAGTTTTATGCATCATCCGGTTGGTGTCGAAGCTGCCTACTAAGCTAGTAATGGCCGAAAATGATTTCACCTTGATTAGTTTAAGATGACCATTGGTGTTCACGAGGTAACGCAACTAAACACTTCAAGGAATATCACTATAGGAAATGTTTCATATATATATGTTTCGGCCTAGCCAAAGTGATGTCGTTTCGTATTCATCGAGTGATTGTCTGTATACCCAAATACAGAGTGTATCATCCGTGCTCCAAAACAGGCTTGCGGTAACAGTCATGGCGGTCATGACTAAATGAAAAAAATATTGGGTTTGGGTTGGACTAGAACTTTCTAAGGTCCGACCTTAAGGTACCCTATCGGTATTACCAAGGTTTGTATTCTCATTCGCCTTTATCCTCATTAGATAATACAACATTGGCACTCTTGTTGTAACTACCAGACCCAACAATAGGTCTACACGAACAGCCTGAACGCATTCGAGGATCCGGGCTAAGTAACTCTGCAAAAAAATAGACTCCCTTCGTATTGGTATGCATACTCAATGGGACGATTCCTACAACACGATCTATCACACAACTGAATTGTTCATTCCGCACCGCTTGTTGCCTTCTGCGACAAGAAGCTCCTCTAAGCAGATTGCGTTACCCTTGAACACCTCGTGTCAGAGTGCATACACAATTAACGTAACAGTCGATAATACCTAAGTACATGATCAGACTTGATAAAGTATGGATACGATACGATACGATGGTGTTGCTAATTACACATTGTTGTTGTTGTGGCTGTAGACTTCACTTCGACCCCACGTTCTTATATTCTCCCGTCGCAACAAGAGGAATATAAGCTAGTAGTTGGTCCCGTTCTCCCATTTGAGTTGAAACCGTTTGCCACCCGAGTGAATATTCTGCATTAGGTTTATTGATACATTTTCGGTAGTTCCATGAAACATCATAAATGCCGCTCAGTGCCCTCTTGACCCTTTTAACTTTCGGCTATTATCTAACGGAGAAGGATATTTATTCACTGTTGCCGTTCTGTCCTCACACATGCTGCTCTAAAGGGAGTGTTCAGGTGGTACCGAATAGTACCGCTCCGCGCCACAAGTAAGTACCACGAAAAAATGAGTAAACAACAACAACAACAACAACAACGATGACGACGACAACAACAACAGCAACAGCAGCAGAAAAAGAACACTGGCTTTGCCAATAACCTCAGCGTTGTAATTGCGTTGTAATTGGCCTCGTAAACTCCATTCCTCTTGTTGCAGTCCATTGCTGAGGAGCTACAACTTAGACAGCTTCTGCTCTGTTCCAACGTTTTGCTATGTTTCCTGTTTGTTCCATGCTCCTTTGCTGTGTTGAGTTCAGCTTGTGTTTGGTTATACATTTTGTTACCGTTATGTAAATACTAAACCACATTAACATATTTTACACATGTGTGAATAGTACAGAGAGAATTTCGGAAAAACCACTTCAATATGGCGGAAATCAACGATCGACCTTCTACAGTGTTGTTCTAATGAAGAACGTTGCTTTGTTTTTCTATGGTGATTTTCTATTACAGACGTGAACAACAGCGCCAAGAAATGCCGGGCGAGATATGGCCTCGACAAGCAGAACAACTGGTGCAAACCATGTAGGCGGAAAAAGAAATGCATCCGTTACCGCGAATCGAAACACGATAATCCGGGTTCAAATGCTCCTTCATCGACCGGAGGACCCGGGTCTAACCAACCCGAGCCAGGCGATCTCGACATTGATGCGATGGAGGACGCATCAGATGCCGATAGCGACGACGAGGATGAGCCCAACGCGTTATCTTCGGTAGAGGCGCCAACGCCACCGGACAGCCTTCGCATGCACCCCAGCCCGGGAGCGCAGTCCTTATGCACCGACGATGAACCTTTACCCTCTCCCCTGCTGGGCATGCCACCTTCACCAAGGCTGCCCTTACATCCCGTGCCCTCACTCGGCCTTCCATTACCGGGATTGGGTTTGCCAAACTTGCAGGGCATAGGACAACAAGCGGTTCCAAGTCTACCTGTGTCGTACAAGCATCATCCCTTGAGCATACACCAGCTGACAAGTCAAACAGGTGTGGGCCATACGCAGGGTGAATGTAAACGCGAGCCGCAGGAAAGTTTACCTATGCTAGGTGTCGAAAGTATCCTTACGCCGCCATCTGCCGATACGCCGCATCTTCTCACGGTCACTTAAATGAATCTGGACCTAATTTTAGGCCGAAACGAAGCGATGTATAATAAATGCGATTAGCGGTATACGTTATATGGGACACAGCACCTAAGAATGAACGCCGAAAGAGCGTGACGGTAAGCCTTTTCTTAGGACTAGGCTTTGTCGGCGCTATCTTGCGCTGTGCTGCTGTATTAAACGTTGCTGGTCAAGCGTCACAGCATGTCTCTGGCAAACTCTATGGCCCCTACTTGTCATTCAGCTTCACCTTTGCTACGGTAATTGTCTAAAGCGAAGAAGCTAATTAAATCTACGAAAACAACACATGGAGGCACACATGCTTGCAACATGCTACCCTTAAGGAATTTTCGGAAAAACCAGAAAAAGTATGCAACAGGGGGTCAAAGAACCCCTCGAATCAGCTTCTATTCTAATTATTTTTATTATTACTATTATTTGCGGCCGGGTGTACATATTGAAGAAAGAAGCATTAGTTAGGGCAAATTGTACATACGACACTGTACATACACACTACAAAAATGATTATATATATATATATATATATATATATACATACATATATATATATATATATATATATATACACATATATATAACACTTCTGCATATCGTAAAGTAATAAAAAACGATAATGTCAATTGTGTGCCATCACCGAGTAGTTCCTATGATCGATCAGAATTTGTAATCCTGCCATCGTGCTTCTCCAGACGCTGCAAGTAGAGGGCAATTTATGAGCAATAAGCCCCACCTTGAGCCAGTACAGGAGATCAATCAGTTTGCCTCTATATGTGGATTTTGTTTCTTGCAATCAATAGCCGTATTGGTGTTATTGGCTAAGTTGAATGGTTGCCTCGCGATTGAATCGAAAGAGCAAATATATATATATATATATATATATGTGTGTGTGTGTGTGAGAATAAGTAAATTCGAGAAAATTTGCCGTCTTCTATCCGCCTCCTTCATCCCACCCCTAAAGCGTTACCTGCCTTTATCAATGTAAATACGACTAAGTTGAATGTAAAAGAGGATAGAGACCGATGAGGGGGGGGGGGGAGCGGGGGTAACAATTGTACTGAAGCAAAGTGCAGATGATTAGTGGCAACAGAGATTTATTCGATTTGGAGTATCTTTGAACAGGGTTCGATCAGTCTGCAGAAAAAAGAGTTCAGAGAAGACAACCTTTACCGATCATGTGCAATTTTGTCACGGAGGTAAACAAACGGATAGCGAGTAAACATCACAAACATAAGTAGCACCCAGCCAAACTTAACCTGATAATTATTCCTAATAACATCAACAACGATAGTTTTATTACAAAAATTGTTCATAGTCATTAAACGCTGAGAAGCCAAATAGTGCGAAAAAAAGCTACCTATGGAGAAAGATTTGACGCGTATTCGAAACATAAACAGGCCGGCTAATTAGCGAGCAGAAAATCAAAATTGTACGTGCGTACTAATTCGAAAACTCAGTGCCGTTATAAACAGAAAAAGCAGAAATTCGCAATAGGAACTGGCTAGGTCCACAATTTTACAGATACGCAAATGCGGTCGAGTGAGTCGCCATAGCGATGGCAGTAAAAAAAAAGTCAGGGGAAAAGCCAAGGAAGGGAAAATTAGCAAGAGCTACGTTAACTTACGCATTATGGCTGAGACGTTTCGAGTGCTGAAAAACACTGGGAGCGGTGCATGAAAGTAACGTTGAGGACGATCATCCTGATCACAGACGGCTGATAATTTTGCGAATACTGGTGATGATATTGACAATGCAATCTAAAGAAATGTTTCAAATTTAAATTATATACGCTAAAGATGTATACACGCAGACACTGATTGAAGCGGTTAAAGGAACATATCAATATGAAGTAGTCACAAAATGGTCTCACACTTGTTTCCACTTGTACTCGTTACGATTAATCAAAAAGTCGGAACGAAAACGATTACGAAACCTAATTACGAAGAGGAAGGACGTCTGGAATAACGATAGCGATGATTGTCACCAATATGCATAGATAAGGTAGGCGAGATTCTATTTTATTCTCTTTATATAGGTGTTTACCCTGTCATTGAAGTTTGATGGCAATTGAAGATCGGGGAATTGGGTATCGAACGAGAATAATTTAACCGCTATGACCAGATAGTTGGTCCGATATCGTCATTGTTTGAGACGGCGTTAAGGGCAGAGAGCTACCATGAACAGCAATATATATATATATAGCTACTACGAATTAGATATTACTGCAACAGTAACAAAGGCGGCATAGTCATTCACGAACATATGAAAGGATTCGAAACCCCTCGAAACTGTTAAATATCGTCATTATGTACGTTTGCCCCTATCTGTCTGTGAATTAGAAGTTCCTTCAACTTAATCTGTTACAATAATCTCATTATGCGACGTCGATGTGGTGTTCGTCGCCACTCCATTGCAGTAATCATTTTAGCTGTTACCAACTTCTTCGAGAATCTGTTGATTTGTAAAAGGCCTTCGACTACTCCTTGCCGTAATCCTACATCGTGCCAAATCGGCCGACAAAACACTTGTTAGTTTCTAGTTTCTTTTTTGTTAGAATGGACGGCGTACTGTTCAATCTATAGAGCCATCAGCAATCAGGGCATGACGCAATATAACTGTGAACTGCATTGACGAGCGGACATTGGAAAGGGGGTAGATAGTTTTTTTACTAAAACTTCGCCATAGCATTCAGTTTGAATTTAGAGGGAAGTGTTAATGCGACCATGGTGGTCGCAAGCATTTACGAGGTAAACATGTGTGGTTAATTTAGTAGAGATTATGCGTCTACATTCGTTTGTCTAGTAAATAGGATAAACGAAACTAAAAGAACATGAGAGATGTTACAAGTTCAGTAGTGCAATCTGTCCCGAATGGCCCCACCCGATCCCTCGCAGTTTCCGCCTCTTGCAGAAGACGAAAAATGAAACAATAGAAGTATTGCCTAGGACAGGCCGAAAATGAGAAAATAATACAAATATATAAATATAGATATAAATAGAGTATATGTAACGTGTAATGGTATTATAATAGAAATCGAATTGAGAGAGAGCGAAAGGAAAGAAGAGAGAGCTATCACAGTGACGTAGACATTGTTAGAAGCATTTCGAATGAAGTTGCGACTTAAAAGCTGAGACGAATTCAGATGCGTGACCAGAAGAAAATGAACAACGGAACAATGATGAGAACAAAAAAACACTAGAAAAATAAAACTCAATACAAATATGTACAGTCCATCTCTTCGAAGTTGTGCTTTTGTTGTCATTTATGTAGCTCCATGACTGTTAAAAGTGTAGGGGAAAAATTTTCTCTGACCTAGATGCTCGTGTCTGTCGGTGTGCTACTTCTTTGATAAGTCAAGCAAAGCCATAGGAATATCTCAATAGAAAATATACACTGAATTAAAAAGGCAATTTTTTATATAAGATTTATAAAATTACACAAAAACACTCCAATCAGGATCTTCTTCATTTAATTGTTTTTTGCGACATCTCCGCTGGACCATTCACAAGGAAAAGTTTAGCATTTTTTTCGAATGTCTTTAAGTACCTACCTGTCTACGTGATAGGGAAAGCTGTTCCGAAGCTAGCGCTGAGCACAAAGTAGCCTTCTAAATAGTTTTTAAAAGTCTAAGTTTTACCTTCAGTACTGCCGTTAAGTATTGCTTTGTGAACTTAGAACAACAATTATATGCATACGCTTATTTGTTCCCGATTAATCTTGCAGGAAATGCTCTATTAAGCATTGAAGCTATGGATAGTTTTCCGATTAACCACTTGTACGCATTTACGAGGAGAGTTCTTTTGTGCCATTTGGGATCCCATCTTCCCACGGATAAGGTGTAGTTCTTAATTGGAAATTAATAGAAGTTTGATTTGCTTGAGAACCTTCTTCTACGTCCCACCCCACGTAACAAAAGAATTACGCAGTGGATATTCCACAAATGAGCGACGAGCGTGCAATCCACTGCTCGTAGGCATATGAATGAGGCTTGCAGCTCGTTCTAGGGCGCGGGGAGGGGGCAGTCACACTGTTTTTGTTTTGGCCTTATGATTCGTTATAGCGTTAACTTATCGTCTATTGTCGGAGAATATTAACAGTGGTTCACCGCTATTTTTTACAGCATTTTTTTTTTGGAAAAATATAGGACGCTCCACTTACCTTCGCGTACACTACCCAATATCAACTATTTTTCATAGTATAATAGCATATGTTATTGAACGGTTAAATGACAGATATATTAATTAAAATTATTTAATGGAACGATTAAAGATAAAAATCCGTAACTATTGTAATATAACATATAATGAACATAACATTTCATCAAGATTAAATCCTATCTAATTGTTAGGCTTATTATGGGCAAAAATATATAAATAACAAGATCTGTGTCATACGATTAATATATCGCCAGGCATGTAAATGATTTTACTTGACTGGGTTGTGCACTAGAGTATATGTGGCTATAGTGGCCTCAGTCAGCGAAACGGTCGTAGTGAGATTTCAACAAATATTTCAGATGCTGAATGATCTCAGACATTTATCGAATGTTTTAAAAGGAATAATAAAGCCTTCCGATCTCGAATAACCGCAAAAAGAGAGTGGACTAACAGGTTCGAGCTCAGCAAAGCGACGTGTATTCACCTAAATAGAGAACTTCGTCGACCCTTGTCAGACGGTAGTGTCAAAAAACGAAAGTTCCAAACATCGCCATGTAAAAAAACTGCGAACTTAGCATTGATATCATAGAATGTATTATTTTTTTTAAATTGAACACGTCAGGGTATTGCTATAATAGTAGTGAATTAGTGTAAATCTTTGTAAATTCGAAGATAAATGGGCATCGGAAAATTATTACATCACAATTTGTTGATGTTTTTTTAAGCCCGGAGAATTATTAGCTGCTTAACCCATTAGCTGCCTAAAAAAGATAGCCAGAAACTTCGATCATTAAAAAAACAAAAAGCTTTTGTTGCATCTTATATATGGAGCACCATACACGAGCTCGCATAATCTCATTGAACTTCTACGTTTCGAGTTTTACATCCGGTATCGCCATAGGCATTCCATAAGACGGCTGACTCCTAGATTCGAACCTTGACCACTGCGTGTCCGTAAGATTAGAGGACAAACACCTTACCCACTACGCTGTCACGCTGGCACAAATGCTAATCGTGTTGTCACCAAACAACAAACCTATGTGTTTATACCTTTGTATCTATTATTGTGCGGTAAATTTTCTCCTTAAGCACGTGAACTGACTTCGCTATTGGCGAAGAGTGTCGCGGGCTATCTCGAAACTTCAAGTAACATCCGTTATCATAAAGTCGTCAGCTTTGAAACAATGCGAGGGCATTCGCTTGCTTTACTTCAAAGCTAATTAAGTAGAATTGATACTGGCTAGACGCAAAACATGAACGAAAAAGACAGTCGAGTAAACGATTGAATTATCTCGAAAAGCAACTCTTTCAGTAAGTGAGCTAAGATGAAACGAACGTTCCAGAGGATCTCAGCAACTTCGTTCTCATAATGAGATACTTCCATTTCGATGAACCGAAGGCGATTTTAGTTAACAATGTTAGTCAAGTTACAAAACAGTTCAAGACAACGTGACTAACGCCGCTGGCTTGAGGAAATCAGCATTGTAATGTATTCTTGGCATAAAAACAAATATTAATAGGATGTAAATCTTCCATCGTGTGTCGTGTTCCCGAAAAACCCAAGCAATCTACCTCACTATTATTTATTTTAATAAAATGTAATCCAAGCTATTTAACGCTCTTTTCTTGTTGTGAGTGGTTGATTTCTTAATAGGTAAACAATCTCATGGAGCTACAGTTTGATTGAAATGACAGTTGGCGCCGAAATGATGGTAAAGACTATTTTCGCGCCACGAATGCATCTGGGACGTTTTCCGATATCAACTAACTAAATTGACACCTCAGGCTGAGAGATAACCGCTAATCAATGATAGCTTGGCGATTAACAGGGCACAAATCTAGCAGACCCAATGATGGAGTTCAGTCCCCTAGAATCTCAGTTACTAACACCTCGAACCAAATCGGATAGAAAACAGTAATGGTTGACGATGACCCTCATCGATGCTGTGGCCGGGAGACATCTTGCTCCGGGGACTGCCCGTAGAGAAAGCCGCTGAATTAAAGGTAAGCTACCCAATGAGCAGCTAAAACCCTCAGTTCATGGACACACACAGTCTAAGGGACGCGCCAGGAACAACAAAACCAAACATATATACTATGTACCTTCCCCTCCGAGGGCAGCACACTGTCTAAAGCCAATCCATGTATTTAATAGGCAGATAAATCACGTGAGATAAAAATCAGATGCTCCCTTTCTGGCTATATGGCTTGCATTATTTAATAGTAGTATCCAAACGCATGAGTTGAAAATGCTTATTTGTCTAGCAATCAGCTTAGGCAAGTTTAACAAATCCGTATTCGGGATTGAAGCAACCCTACCGTTTTGCCAAACAGAAGTGTATGGCTTTTGAAGAACCAATTGATTTAAAGAACGAAGCTGAATATGGGGTCAAGGTTTTGTGCTCCTCTTCGCATATGTAGGAACGCGGGGTGTTCATTTAAAACTCGACCCAGATCTGGCAACGTTTGAGGTTCCACTTACGATGAGTTGTTCTATCAACATACTCTCCTCTGTATCTGATACAATTTCCCATAATGAACCCACATTTAAAAAAATCGTTCTACTTAGATTAAAAAAGAAATAACGACCTGTTTAACCGAACCGGAGATGAGCCAGTTACAAGACACTACGATGTATAGACACCGCTACAGAACCATTGCAAATAGGAGATTCCTCACGGCCGTTATGGATGTCTAAACGACGCTTTGTCCAGCTAACATATTATGTACATTTAAGTTCAGAAGCTAGTGAAGAGTCGTTTCTCAAAAGCAAAAAATATAACTTTGTAGGGAGCGTTTATTGACATTTTTTATAGGACGACCTTGTTTCATGGTGGATAGGGAGAAGATAGATGAACGACGTAGATCATGTAGAGGCAAAGAAGTCAAATCCAAGTAATATACCTGTTAGAAATTTAGCTTAATTAGCCCAATTCAGACCGTTAAAATTCATTAGACTGGTAGAAGTAACTTTTAGTTTGATCCCGATAAGCGTAGTAAAGCAGTGTTTACTGTCTTAGTCATATGGCTGCCATCGAACCCCAATATATTTTCGCGTGCATGCGAAAAAATGCCTCATAACACGGTCACTAGCGATTAATTGCTGTAACTTAGCTACCTTCCTCTCCTTTTCTCATTGAAATACATCTTAGAGCTTTTAGCCAGCAGGTTTCGATTGAACTTACTTAATTGCCAACGCTATCACTGTAGTTACATAGAGACCTTCGACATCCACATAGTGATTCCTTTTTTTTAAAGACTTTTTTTTCGTCTTACACGGTCGTTACAATCATTCTTGGTAAGCTCTATAACTGATCTAGTAAATCATTGGCCGGATCTAGACTTCGCTGAAATCATGCGTTTAGCGATGTACAAGTCTATGGTGGACTCACCTACCGTTGTACGTTTATGAAATAATTTCCACATAGTATATAGGCTATCCATTGCCAGTCATCGTCTGTATATGAGTTCGGCATCGGCAGTTATATATAGTAATATCAGATCTGAAGAGAGTTCTCGTGCTTTAGCACATGAGCCATCGTGTACAACCCATTTCAGATATATATACTTGTAATGTTTCAATATTTATTAACTACAGGTAAATATGTTTATCAAGACGACATTAGCTCAGAATAACCTACAAGCGACGATATCAGCATTCAGTAATCATTATTTTCGATTAAGCTGCTTTTTTGAAACCAGCTCGAACCTTAAGGCTCCCTTGAAAAGAGACCGTGGAAGCGTCCACGAGTAGATACATCTATCCCAATTAAAATTGTATTTTAAATCAAATTCATGAGCTATGTAGGTGTCAGATGGGACTTCGTTTCGTTAGCACAAAATTCGTATACGGAAAATAAACTGGAATAAAGATCGTATGAGAGACGAAGCACGGCTTGTCCAATCATTGGCTATCACCAGTCACCCAATAGTCCTGCGTCTCTCGGCAACTATATTCTCAATAATACTGAACAACGTTTCTGTAAATGGCTGTCTCGGAAACACGACGAAAACTAATATATACGCTACATGATTATAATAATTTTGTCATTTATATACCAATTTGTAGGTATATTGTATTCAGATTAAACTGTTCAAATTATGCCACCTTGTTTTCTGCAGCCGAAGCACAAGTAGTGAATTGGCGCCCTGTTTTTTTGCTCGTAGACCGAATTGTGTTCACTATCGCCCTTCCCTCCATCACATCTATGCATCGTTGCTCTGTGTAGACAACGTTACTGTTGTTGGCATTGTTATCGTTGCGTTTTTTGATACTGAACATATTCTGTGTTGATTGATCGCATTTATTTCAACCATCAACGCTTCGTGTCATGGTCTGCATCGGCGACCTCAGCAATAGACAAACCGAAGTGACGTCGAAGATGGTAACTATATTATTAACAGCGTATTCGCTGGGTCTGTTTCCTTTTTTTCTATATAGGTTTGTACAGTCCTGCTGCTGTTGCTTCTTCTTTTCTTCCCAGTGGCTCCCGGCGCGACCGCCGGTGTCGCGTTGCCTCGCTGCCGCGTAATGTCCCTTAGCTTGAATTTGCTCTCTGCTGTCGTCTCTTACAACAGTGGACCTCTCCCAGCGACAGGTCCAGCTCAAGAGTTGATGGCAGCCTCCTCTGTCCTGAACAGTCCCGACACGCACTCGGCATTGTCGCCTTGAGAGTACGCCAACAGCAATAGCAGCAGTAGCAGTCAAGCGTTTGGTAGTAGCGGCTTCGATAAAGGTACTTAGTCTTAAAGCGGGCAGGACGGTTCACCGTTCGAAGGGAACCGACAGCCTAAGTCCCTTCAATCGAAATCAGTGGTCGTTTTGTAGGCGACGAACTCTGCTGCAGGACTAGCGCCGTTCTAGCGTTCGCTTGCAAACTTGGGCCGGTTCCCTAATTACGCGCCACAATAAGTACTATCATCGAAAATAAATAGCAAGACCTGTACTATTTGCCTGCCATTTGTTGACACTATTGTTTTCCCGAATGTATCGCAGTACAGTGCCGACGCCACTGCATCGAGCGAGAGCTGAACTTTTAAATTGTGCAATGAGCGTCTACAAGTGTAAAACAAGAATAACAGGCGCCTGAGTTCTTGAAAAAAGATTTCTAAAGTAGAAATCCTGTATACACGGGAAATAGCAAGCTGATTACAAGATGAATGAAGCGAACTTGGTGTGATTCGTAATGTGGCCTGCTTAAAGATAGGATTCATTACTACGAATAGAAAAGTGTGATATCTAATCTAAAGATTCCCTAAATGCAGCAGTAGCAAAGTCACCAGGTAAGCGTGCTTGCAACAACGACAAAGGTAATAGAGAAAGACTTCCTTTTTTAAAAAAAATTGTCTCAGTAATTATTTGCAGCCGACGTCGCTTGACGCTGCTTACCGGTTTTATGATTTGCTGGTCATCAGCGTCAATAGTGTGCTGCACTGAAATACATACCATGGTACCTTTACGTGTCTGTGAAGATGCAATTTTAAGGGCAACCGCTACATTAATGGTTTCTGTATTCCAAGACATGATCACCTAGATTTGGTGCTTGGGTAAAACGCGATGCTCTAGGGTAACTTATTTCTCGATAAACATTGATCAGTATCAAAACTGCAGGGAGATGGGGCAGTAGGGTTCAGTGTTGAAGCATCTTTGACAACGGAACCATGGCATCATGCTTACTGATACGTTAACTCTAAATTACCGAAATATCTCCACTGAGAAGGCGAGACATAGCATGCATGCAAGCAAGGAGGAGTAAAATCAATTATGGAAGAATAATTTAGTTTATTATTTAGGGGTAAAGTTTTGCTTTTCCATTTGGTGAGATAGCGATCTGGGTTTAGCGAAATATGGAAACGGTCCACTGTTGTGAAGTAACATTCTGTAGGTAAAAGTATTTACCTTTTAGATAGGCTATTTATATCACAGCAAACGCTTGAAATAGCGTCCGTTAATCATAACACGAGGATTTTGACGCCGACAAGAGTATGCTACTCTACGATGGTTCAATCTAGCAAGTTGGCAAAAAGACTGTTCTGTCTATGAAGCTCTTTTTTTAAAAGCTTTCAATTTACTAAGCATTAATTAAGACATCTTAACATAATACCATTGACCTTTATCTCGTCGGCGGTGAACACGTTTTATAACGTCAACAGACAATTGACCTAAAAACTTTCCTCTGCCAATGCACTCTAAAAAACATTGTATTAACATACACAACTGGAACTTGCGTTCACATTGCGCTGGTTCTAGTTATATTGGTACGAAAAGAAAGAGGGATACATATATCAGATATCAACTGACTCGAATTTATCAAAGGAACTTCCTGAACTGATTTATGAGACAGTAACTTATTTTTCTCTCAATTTTCTAAACAAAAACAGTATTTTTCACACGGGAAACTCACCTATCTCCTCAATGTTACTTATCACCTTTTTGACAATTTGTGAAGCATAGTCTTTAACAGCCTGCATATAGAGCAGTTATCACATCACTTTTGTGCTAGACTATACTCAGACGTTACCTTCAAGGGTTCCAGTCGAGCATAAATTATCAAACATGTAGGAAGTTGTTTCCTGTTTTTCGAGCTTCAGGGTCTCGTCCCTGAATTACGGTCTACGCGCGCAGGGTCTGAGGCTTGTGTCAAATGTGAATCGTTGTTCCTTTCCTGGTAGTGTGCGCATAAATGTTTAAAAAAAACGTAATTGACGTTCTTCTGTCGTGTTGAAAAACAGATGCTAAAAAAAGACCTTATTTAAAATACTCAAAGGAACAATTTGAAGTACTAGCTCATTAGCTAAAGAGAAACATCGGCAGTTGTCAACTGAACAGAACTATTGAACATAGATAAACTCTTTTAAGTGTAAGTAATCACTTTATGATAAAATCAAGCTAGTGTATCGAGCTTTGCATCGAAGTATTTTTTTTTTCTTTGTTTTTCTGTTTTGAGAGTGCTAGACGAACGTAAATAAAATCAACTTCAATGGTTACTTATTTCTTAAGCTAAACACTTGGTTACTGCAGCTGGTACTCGGCTAGACGTATCGAACTATAAGGTCTTTACATGTGTTGCAGCCTTATATGCACGAATCGAAACTTCTATGTGTTGTAACGCTGCGGGATTTTTTTCTGTATAGCTATAAGGATGCGTTTCTTTTTAAACATCCTGTAAATATTTGCGTGGCAATGAATCTAAGAACATTCGCCCAAAAGATAATCTTTTGTGCGCAACCGGAACAAATCGATATCCACTACCCGTCAAAAATATAGTGTTTGAAATGTAAGTCATTCTATGTCTTGTATACAAATAAACCCGTGTGTTCTCTCAATGTAATGGTGCAATAACGAGCTTCCAGAGCTCTTTAACCTGTGCAACGATGAAGCGATCTAAACGCTACGCATTCTTATCGTAATGGCTACTACTAGCTTTTTTACATATACACACGCACATTTTCGATTATATGTCTATGTACGACAAAATGCGGGCACAATGAGCAATGGGTTTTTTTCCAATGATCGTGCACCGGTAGAACAGATTGCGCCATTAGTACTGGGTTGGAAATCGTTAAACCGGTCACATGGCTAAGGCCTGCCGGCTGTACGCATTCGTCGTCACTGGCCGCTTCACACTGGTCCTGAGATGCCTGCTTCATTATTGTCTCTGACAGCTCGGTTCCTTCAGCTGTCGTTGGTAACCCACACAGCTAGTCCAGGTCTAGTTTTCTTCGAGTCTGGTCATTCCGGAAATGATCTCTAGCTTTGTGCGGCCTATTGAGAAGGGCAATTTACTCGACGAGAGGATCTATCCATTTAACAGTCAACGGGCATACAGGAAGATGGATAGCTAATTCTACCTGATGATGTTATGGTCGAATCCCGATATTGACACTGGCCTTTTTTTTTTTTATTACTTTTATTATTGTTTTCATTACTCCTCAGCATTTGGCTTACTAAACGGCCTACCACGATTGATCTGCGAAAGATATTAGCCATTTAGAGTAAATTCATTTGATTCAAGACCCACCCATTTGATTGATTTAAAAGACCAATCTATTTGATAAGACGCCAAGTCTCTTCCGCTGGTTCTGGTTGCATGCTGAGGCATATTCTATTGTAAGGTCTGGGAGATAAATCAATAATAACTAGCAACAAGCAAGAAAAGCGGCAAGTGGAGCTAACAGGAGACTTGACGAAGTCAACATAAGTATACGGAATTAACAGGATCCTAAAAACAAGAAATTGAACAACAGAAAGCGAGTGCTTCGCTTATGGTCTCCATTATCTCTTGCATGACCATCATTCATTTACTGATGTGAGAGGAACGTCACTCATTTTAGTACCGCTTAGAGAAGTATTTTATGAAAGCGCGACAAATCGGAAGGATCATCCATACATGGTCAATGTGTTATTAAACATGTTAAGCTATATTACGGGTAATACCCAACCTTCATGGAGCCCATACTTTTGCGAAATACGTACTGATCAAACCTCATTAATCCATTAGGTTTCAACACCTCAACTTCTACATCGAGCAACATTTTTGATTTCGCAAAATAGAAATCTGCATCGAACTGCTTCCCCCAGTATCGAACTGAAATCAGCCGAGAACTTCTAGTTAGCCGTGTCTTGATAGCTACGTGATGGCTAGGTTGTAAAAATTCTTTGGGGTTCCTCCTTGTAAACAAGACGGTATAAATCTAACTTTTTTTTTCGTTCTGTTTCTGTATCATTGATATATACAATGGCATTTCTGTCGTGTATGTTATCACCAGGCAGATCTACTAAATATTTAATACCTATCGTCATCTGCATATGGCGATTCAATTCAACTAACTCTCAATCTTATGGAAGGACCCGCGCACTTACTCTACGTCGAACTGAGATTATATTGAAAGCGCTAAGTTAAACGATTTTATTAATTCCTGTATCCTTTACACGGTGAAGTTAGAACATTTTTGCTTTCTACTTAATTATACTAGCCGGTGCACTGTTTAATGGGTTCTTATTTCGTGCATTTCGCTCATTAAAGTGAAGGTTTTGAATGGGGCCATTAATCGATGTGCGAATGCTGGGCATGTCTTTACCTGTCGGTACCGCATGAGAAACTTAAGTAACTTAGTTGTTATCTCCGCACTGTGCAGAAACTGCATCAATATTTCCCAAAGTATGATACAGTAAGTTAAAGGACCTCAACACAATACACTTACATTACAAACTACATTAAGGGGTCGCTTTGGCAGCTTTTCAGCAAAGTTCAATAGTGCCTATCATCGAGAAAATGCTCTACCTATCATCATACCGACATTCTTGAGTAAAATCGATATTATTTTAATAATAAACTTTTGAGACACAGCCGTCAATGAATTTTTTGATACCGCCGTGTCCGCATGTGAATCCGGAATGTTCTCACGTAAAGGTTAAATCGACGACAAGCGCTGAAGTTTATTTGGGTCAAAACGAATTGGCTCCGCAGGCTTCCCGCTGATTCTGTGAAACATAAGGATGCCCACATTTATTTGTGTTCAAGCGAATTGTTCGAGCTTCAAGAAAAGTCTGCTGCCTCGGCAGCTTACTGGCAATCTCAGGTTCAAGTTCGAATGATACGATGCTTTTTTCGAAAAATCATGGCTAACTTATTAACCTAGTAGTATTTGGGCTTGTATGCAAATGTATGTCTCACTTAGTTCGAACAATTCATTTCAATGTAATTCTCATTTAATTGCCAATTTATGTAAGTTTAACTTCAACGACGGAGTTAAGTCTACACGAATCGGATAAGATATTCAGTCGAAGGTTTCAAGACGGCTTAGCAGAAGTAGACTTCTTTTCATTGAAATTAGGGCATATCGATCCCCTAAACTAAAAAATAGAGAATGCCGGTGTAGGTCTATACGTTCGTGGTAATATCCGACCTTTTGCTAAAAAGCAGACCACCTCTTGCCAACAATTGCATCAGTCACGAGAGCTAGTTTGCAATGACTTTTTATAAAACCTAGAATACTGGACAAGCTCTAAGGCTTGACAATTGAACAGTTAAAGAAGTGACCTGATTAAGTTTCGGAATCCAATTTTGGTTCTGTTTCATCTTCCCACTATTTGTTTGTCAATATTAGACCATTCAAAAGTCCATTCCCGTCTCCATGCCGTATAACTGTACGGCAAACAGAATTTCACCCCGAGGTCAAGGTTTCAAGAATGGATGTTTCTAGTGAAAAATAACATACTTTTCATATTTACGACATTTATTCTGTCTTATTTTTTGAAAAAAGCTATCGAAGCAGCCTTG